GGGGAGGTGTTGTTGTTGTTGTTGCTAGCGAGCCAGTAGCATCTGAGCGTTAACTCTTCTGCATGATGCCATTCGGTAATAGTTGCATGTTTGTTCTAATTGTTGTCTTGAGAGTAGAGGCAATTAGATGTGTTGCTGCTTTGTCGTTATTGAATAGACTAATGGATGGTGTCAGTGCAACAGGTTATGTCCACGCAAGCAAATTTTTCTGGTGCAGCAAAAATAATGAAAGAAAAAAAGAAAAATTAAGAAGATAAAATGAACTGTTTAAAAACAATTTAGTCACCAAATTGTGTATGTGTGTTTTGGGGAATAGGGAGTAACAGGTGAATCTGGTACTTTATCCGTTTGCTCATGGCACTTTTCTTATGTTGTTATTTTGTATGCTGTTTTCTGATGTTATCAGAACACTATTGCTATCGTGCTGTTTTGGTGACATTTACATGTTATTATCTTGTTACTGTGCTATTATCTTGCTTTCGTGTGTTTTGCTATGGTCTTGTTATGTTCTTTAAATAACACCTACAATTCTTTGTAAATATATAATATTTTCAAAACCGGAAGCATTACGAGCAGAAAGAGTACGTGGATGCTGTAAATATGTGCAATTTTTAGCCAGTTTCGATTTATATGTGCTGTTTTCGATCCCTTCTCTCGTTTTTTCCCCACCAGAAAACCCTACATATTCAGTGCGGGATAAAATTGAGATCACGATTAAATAATATATCACAGACCTTCGAAACCATTACACTAATTGCTTCCTTCTTTGAGTACATGAAGTATAATATACTGAAGCACGTGTGCCACCAGGGCTTTCCTCTACTCTCCGCCACCATCTTTCATTTAGTTCACGACTATTTCTATAGCTTAATCACGGGACTTCAACACTATTACAAGATATTGGGACTATGGATAGCGACAGCAAGGCAAATAGAGTAATAATAAGTGAGCAGATTATTGTTGGTTAGTTACAAGAAATACTAGAATTTGAATAAAAGTGTCAAGCCAAGAAACAACATTTCAAATTAGCATGAATTAACCCCCATTTTTAGTCCTTATTTATTACTTTAAAAATATAAAAACCTGAATGTTTGTAAAAATAAAACTAAAGGTCAAATTTCACTTTAATTATCGAGTTCTGTACCCCAAAATCCATAAAAGAAGTGATGTTTGATCCCTGAAGCAAAACAGTTTTTGAAAAATCTGTAGACCATTATGATGTACGTGTCGCCACAAGTGTTATAGAGGCTATTTGTACGGTATCGTGGTGAAATTTTTGCTTTAGACCATAATATTTATTTAGAAAGACATTTCTGCGTTGATCTTACCAAGGCACACAAACAATGTGATTCTACAGTTTCCTAGGTCACTTAAGCTTTGGAAGTCTCCAAACTTTGGTGGCCACTGTTTCGCCAGGTTACCTCTGACACTAGGCTTCCCTCACGATTCAATCGCAAATATCCCGACGTCTATTTGAGATAGATGGGTATTTCTTTCAGCCAAAACAAGACAAATGAACAAGCTTTAAGACGAGATACTAATTACCCTTTACTGCACCAACTGACGAGCGCCTGATTTCACTGTGTGGTGACGCATTCATTGCACCTTACATTGTGTGCATCGTTCGTCATGCGGGTTTGCACTTTCTGAAAGCGCAGAGAACTCCTATTCCTACTGTAACCATAAGCCACGTACAGACTGAATAAATGTCAAAATATGACACAAGCACCCCTCCCCTACAACCCCCCCCCCCCCCCCCCCCGACCAGGGATCTGTTATGTGATTATTACAACACGCACACACACACACACACACACACACACACACACACACACACACACACACACACACACACACACACACACCCCCCCACACACACACACAAAATCCACCATATGTCCCCTCCCACACACTATCTTTCACTGGCGTGGGTGGCTACGAACAGCCTATCAATTAACATTTTTAAAAAAAATTAATAAGTTATTAAAAAACTGCTGATGCAGATACTTCAATAACGTTAGCTTACTTCCGGCTTTAAAAATCCCGTGTTTTGCTAGGAAACATTTGTTTTAGTCGAACTTTGCGTGAAAAGCTTTTTAGAAAGACCAGTACTACCACCCCCCCCCTCCCACTCCCCCCACGTTATTAGCCAACCCATAAAATAATGCATTGATTTATACTTGTGGCATCGGTGGCCTAGTAATATGGTTCTCGAACTCGCAACCGTAAGGTCGTGGGCTCGAATCTCGAAAGGGGCCCAACTTTGTGTTTTTGGGAAAGGCATTTTATACGAATTTCTCCACTTCAACTAGGTAGAAATTGGTACCTGGTGATAGACAGCC